AAGAAAGAAAGAAAGAAAGAAAGAAAGAAAGAAAGAAAGAAAGAAAGAAAGAAAGAAAAAGCTTCAAAAGGCACATCCCATGGCTACTTATGGCATGATAAAATGCCCATCTCTATTTTGGTGGGTCTTTGGTAAATGAAAGACATCAATATAAGTGGAGATTCTGGTGAAAGTGGAGTTACAGGATGGCGCTCAATACAGTCTGAGTGTGGCACCCCTTTGAGTGTAGCCCTAAGCTAGAGTGCCTAAAGATTCCAAAGTGGGGATCCTTGCTAACATGTTCTCTTATGTTCTTCTTTTCAGTGACATTCAATGACTGTAAAGGAAATGACAAGCTGAGATTCGATGTCTCCAACCCCTACTTCAAGGTGAAGCCAGATGGGGCTTTAGTCGCACTGAAAAACATATCAGATGTTGGCCCGGCTTTATTCATCCATGGGCGGTCATCTAACGCAGAAGACATGGCAGAAGTTGTGATAATTGGGGGCCAGGACAGCCATGGCTCCTTAAAGGTAATAGGGTTTGGGGATGAAAGAATTCATGGCAACTTGCTGGGTCTTGTGTAACAGGAAACAACTCCCTTCTTTGGGCAGTGGGGTTTTTTTATGAAAGAGTTTCTTGGAGCTAGGAAAATACACTGGGCTGTAGTGTTTATTTTTCATGCACTTATCTTTCCAGGGATGGCTTCTATTGAGGCACAAACCTTGAGAAATGAACAAGACATATGCTGTGTCCCTCATATACTCACAGGATTTCTCTACACTAAAATGTGTATTCTGATCCCCAGGTTTGTGAGCACATTCTACTTAGCCAGATAACTTACACTCGCACTGAAAAGGGGAATGGCATCTTTCCTTTGCCTCTGAGAAGAGGAGAGAAGGTCAGGGAAAGATGACCGAATTGGAACTGGGACTTCTTTTCCCTCCCATCTCCTTTTCTCCATCCTTACCTTCTCCTAGCTACAAAAACCCCCTCAAACTCTCTCAGTACCGTGGAACTTCCCTTTGCATTGTTCAGGCTAGGATCTTTTCTGGTCACTCTTAAGAGGGACATTGGACTCTAAATTCAGTGCCCATTTTTATAATACCAAGCTGTCTTTCCTGGCTCCAGTGACTATGGCTGTGATTCAAAAGATAAACCACCATCACAACATATTTTCAGGAAGGCAGTGATAGAGGAAGAAGGCCCTCGGGTTCCTGCAGCGATAAAGGTGGCTGGCCCCATGGGTTTGTTCCAATTTTAAAAGTCTATTGGTACCTTCAGGAACAAAAGTAACTGGCCTTTGGGTTCCTACCCACTGTAGACAATAGTCCACTTATTAATATTATATTTTATATAGTGACTGTGAATGGTTGTTGTTCCACTGCTAATGATTTGTAAATAGCTGCAAGCTGACATTGGTCAAATGAAGCATCGTGATCCTATAGGTAATGTGTGGTCTTTGTTCATGGCGGTGGCTATGGTTTGGGGCCCAGAAGTAGCTGCTGATAAAAGTTTCTGGTTGTGGGGGTGGGATTAAAAGGTCATTTCCATATCTGACAAGCTGGAACAGAGCCATTTGAGAAAGTTAGACTAATATCTGATCAACTTTAAGGTGCCAATTAGATGAGGGATCTGTCAGGACTTATCCTTCTAATCTTAATACTGCCATCTGGGAAAAGGTGACCTTGGGAAATAAACAAACAAACAAATGAACAACAACAAAAAAACCAAAAAGAACAAAAAAAAAAACAGCCCAACACTAAGGCCTTTCAGGAAAACAAATAAATAAACAAACCTGCTTCTTGGTGCTAAGCAGTACCTCAAGGATCTACAAAAAACTGTATGTCAACTAGGTTATACCCCAAATAGTTGTAGCCAAATAAGGAATGTCAAACAAGCAGGTATTCTAATAAAAGGCAAAGTATTTTAGCAAATCAAATATTGGATTTAGAGTCATATAGACTTGGGTTCAAATCCTGACTCTCAATCTTATTACTTATATGACTTTTGGCAAATCATTGGATCTCTCTCAGCCTTGGTTTCCTCATTTACAAAAAGAAGAACTTAACTCAATGATATCTTAACCTTCTTTCAGTGCCAAATCTGTAATGCTGTTATATGAAATCAAAGGGATATTACCATATTGAATAATGTGATGATGTCACTATTTCTTTATTTTCCTCTGAGGTATCAGTTTGTCCCCAGGATAATGAGACTATAATTACAGGATTATTTCTCCCATTTTCCGAAGGAGGAAACTAAGTCTTAGGGAAGTTAAGTGATTTGCCCAAGGTCATACAGACAAGAAGCATCAGAGGTAGAATTTGAAGTCAGGTTTTCCTGATTCCGGGTAAAGCACTCTGTCTGCCTTTCAACATTGTGCCTAAAGTTAACGAAGTACTTTCCTCATAATAACACTTATAATAATAGCAAAAGCTGCCACCACAACAATAATAGCTTGTATAGATAGCATCTACTATGTGCCAGACACCAAGCTTTACAAATATTTTCTTTTTTGATCCTTACAACAGCTCTACAAGATAGGTTCTATTATCCCTATTTTACATTTGAGTTAAATGAGGCAAACAGGTTAAGAGATGCCTAAGGTCACAAAGCTAGTAAGTAAGTGAGGCTGGATTGCAACTCAGGTCTTCCTGATCCAACACTCTACCATGTATCTGCCTAAGGAAGGAGGTAATGCAAATATTTACTTTATATATGGTATTCTTAGAGAATGCAAGAAGGATAATCTTGATTCTAAATTCAGTAGAATTATTCACACTTTTCAGATTTGGATCAAAGTAACCATCAGAGGGGTCAGGAGTTAGAAATGTGCAATAGGAATGAGGGGGTAATGTCCTCAGGGGATAAAATAAACAGCACCAGGGAATGGTGGAAGAAGCCTCCCTTTACATAAGCAAAGCCAGAGAAGCATCTAGTGGATCTAAACAGCCTAGATTGGGACTGGTTCCTGGGGAGGTCAGTGGACTCAGGATAAGTCAGTGGTAAGACAAGGCAGCCAAAAACTCAGATGCTTCCCAGGCTGCATGAAGACATATGAGGTCCAGAATTAGGGATGCGATAATCCCTCCATACTCTGCCCCGTTCAGACCATTTCAGGAATGTTGTGTTCAGTCCTGGTTGCAAATTTAGAAATTACATTAAGGAGCTATGGTGGATTCAGAAGAAGGTGATCAGAATGGCAAGGGGTCTGGAGACCAAGCCATATCCTTGAGGATCTGTTGAAGGGTATGTTTCTGCTGAAGAAAAAAAAAGATAAAAGAAAAATGAAAAACTTGAGAGGGAAGGGGACAGGGAGGGAAACGTGAGAATTGCTTCTGTGTCACTGAAGAGCTATAATATGAAATATTATAATATATAATATGATTCGAATTGCTCTGCTTAACTCAAGAGGGTAGAAGAACAAGCAGTAGGCAGAAGGAGGGAAACAAGCATTTGTTAAACACCAACTACGCGTTAGTTTCTGTGCTAAACACTTTACAAATATCTCATTTTAACCTCACAACAACCCTAGAAGTTAACTGTTACTATCATCCCTATTTTATGGTTGAGGAAACTGGGGCAGACAGAGGTTAAATCACTTGCCTATCATCACACAACTATGAAGTGTCTGAGATCACCCTTGAACTAAGGTCTCCCTGAGGTCAGGCGCAATGCTCTGTCCATAGCACCACCCTGCTGCCTCTGAAAGTTGCAGAGAGATAAAAACAAACGAACAAACAAAAACACTAAGTGCCATTAGGGTTATCTAGAAGTGGAATTGGGCTTCTGTGGAGGCCCAACTGTGGTGGATTTTCAAGTAAAAAATGCATAAGCCTGATCAGGTACAAAGTGGATTGTCAACCTCTGAGGTCTTTTCCGGCTGAGATTCTAAGCTTTGGAACCATAAGTAGCAAATCTGGCGCCATGAGCAAGCAATAAGAAATGGCTCTTTAAACCAATTTTTGAAGACAAATTCAGTTGCAGTAGGAAGTCCAGGATAATAGTCTCAGTAGGGGTGGATGGAAGGGTGTTACCCTGCATCACTGCTAGAGGGAAGGTAGTAACTGTGGGATACTGGCTCAATGTGTGGAGGTCCTTGGGTACCCTAAGAATACTTCTGGGGAAGGCATCTCAGGGAGAGAAAGAATAAAGGGAAATGAACCAGGGAGGGATTTACCTGAGTTGTGGCTTCCTGGAGGAGTAGGGGGAGGGGAAGAAGTGGGACATCTGGTAGCATCTTATTTTAACTAAGTTTTGCTAAGCTCAATTATTTCTACCCATTAAAGGGACAGGTAGGTACCCTCTCAGTATCCTCTACCATTTGGCATCCAAAGGTCAAGTCCAGCCCAAATCACTCAATCCTAGTTGTAACTCTATTCTTATTCTGCACTGTGTTAACAAAAAGGAGGAATTTATAGTTGCCACCAGACAATTCTTCTTTTGTCCTTAGTATGGGCTATTCTGTCATGTTCTCCATTTGGGATTCTGCAGCTCAGGTACAACATAAAGAAGATATATGGAGAGGGAAAAACAAGTAAACAGACAAAAATCAAAAACAAACCACCTGCATATTTCTTCTGTGAGCTAAAGGAAATAAGATTCAGTAGATTTGACAAAGATTTTCAAGGGTTAACATATGTAATCACTCCTGGTGATTTATTCTTTCTGCTTACAGGCAGTGTAAGATGAGCAAATGCCTTAAATTATGGCAGGAGGGATTTAGGTTAGACATTAGAGGCATCCTCTGGCTGTAAGGACTATAAGACAAAGGGATGAATGTATTCAGAAGGAGCCCAGTGAAATCCAGAGGATCCCTGCAGAGTTTTCAGTCTACTGAGTCTCTCCTTGAGGTGAAGCGTTTTAATGCTCTGATACTCGTACATTTACCAGTGTTTGAGCATATTGGTGGGTGAGTGCTACAGTTATTGTTTGCTTCTTTCAAAGCACAACCGAGGCTGGCTCAATATTCACTCTGCCAATCTCAAGCCAATGGGGACCTGCCTTCAGTCATTTTGTGATAAATGAAAATGATCCTTTCAGAAACCACTGGAATGTGTCTGAAACAAACTGACCAACCAAAATGATGCCAACACATTCTCTCTGCTGTTTCGATGAATCCTGGGTAAGACCCACTTGATGTATCAATATGATAATCAATAGGTTATTAATATCTACTCAACCCTCACAATGAAGAACTCTGGGTGAGACAAAGAAGTACAATATATACTTTTTGCGTTTGAGGGACTCACAGACTGGGCGAGGGGAGACAAGGGACAAGTAGAAAATCATAGAACCATACATTGAAAGCTGGGAAGGACACTAGAGTCTAAATAGTCCAAAATCCTTATTAGACGGATGAGAAAACTGAGACCCAGAGAGTTTAACTGACCTGCCCAGAGTCACACCTGTAGTAATTAAGAGATAGGATTTAAACAAAAGTCCTTTGGTTCCAAATCTGGTTGTTGTAGTTGATATTTTTTTTCTTTTTTTTTCCATTGTACCACACTACCCTGGAATTATGTGCCAA